TGGTATCAGAACAGGTGAGATGAGTGAGGCTCCACGGCCATCGAAGCTTGTCATTCACTACATCTCTTGCCTCCCTAACCCCTACCTACTCCTTCCCTCTTCTCCTCCATGCGGCTTTCTTCTTCATCGACGTTGTCTATATCAACTAGGTTTCTCCACCAAATCACTACAGCTACCTCCTCTACTGTAGCATTACTATTCCTCTACTGCAGCTTCTTCCTCTACTATAGCTTTCTCTTCTATTGTAGCATCGCTGCAGATACCTCCTCTACTGTAGCATTACTGCTTTTCTATTGTAGCTTCCTCTTCTACTGCAACTTCCTCCTTTACTGTAGCTTTCTCCTCTACTGCAACTGTTGTCGTCGCCATCGTAGTCATCGCCGTTGCTGTCCTCGTTGCAGCTACAACAACAGCAACAGTAGCAACAACGATCTACTCTTGCCCTCCTCACGGGCCCTACTCATGAAGCCTATAACTCATAAATTGTTTGCTTTGTATTGATCCAAAATTGGTATCCTTGACAAGAGCATCATTTTGTGGGAGCATGATAGCAGATAAGATTTCCCCAACTATACGAGGAAATCTCTCTACTTTATTGAGGGAAATCTTTATTCCGTTAAAGGAAATCCTCTCTTTTAATCTGTATAAATAGAAGAGAGACATGTTAATATTAATGTATTCAAGCTTTTTCGATAAAAACTTCTTTAATAAAAATTTCTTCAATAATTCTTCTTATCTTCTATTCTTTTCAACAAATCTAAACTCAAATCATCTCTATTAAAAACCTACGGAAGTGAAATCCTAAAATTACTGTTTTCTCACAACGTCCCCCCATAAATATCTAAAGATATATGGAATATTTATAGATTAGCTAAATCGAACCTAATTCTCAGAGTGTATGTTTTTTAGGTAGAAATCTTTCTATCCTTGATTCCTTATTATATATTAACTTCATCGGAAATCCGAAAAAGCACTTTCTAACGCAAATACGGAATCTCAGCGTATGTTATGTTTGTCTGAACCATCTCGGCTCAATGTTGACCTCAAATAAAGTGGGTTACCTCTGTGAAAAGACTTAGATCAATTAAATTCTTGTCACGACATTATATAATTTTATCTGAACAAGATGACACATCTAATCCCCATAACTAAAGCTTTTAATTACTTCAGGTTGCGGATCAACTGTAATAAATATGCCTATTCATTAATCATTTAGCGACATCAGATTAGTGAATCGGATACTGCTAGGTATCATGAGCGTTGATATAGATCTCTAACTCATGGTTAAGGTTATGGTTCGCAGTAGGCATCGAGCACAAGCATACATGGGACAAGGATGGATAGCTCCACCCAAACCAATCTAAATATTCTCCCATGGAGATGGTCCCTCCGTCGACGTCCGGACATCACTGACGCTACATCCACCTGATGAGAAGCCTTCTTCCAAACGTCACATGGCCAAGTGCTGTCATGTTAATATCCTCCCTCTTGTTATCAACTGATTCTACTGTTTGCATGGCCTCATTGAGTACATACACCTTCTTCTAGCACCAGTATTCAACCCATAGTGAGGGTCCTGTTAGCTTAATTATATTTTAAATTAACTTAATTATGATTTAAACTGACTCGATCTAGATAAATTATTATAAGTAAGAATATTAAGTTATCCGGCATGTCATTGGTTTATCGGTGCTTTGTCTAATCCTTCGACACATCATCCTCTTTTACGGTCTTTTGTCCAATCGGCATGTTGACCTTCGTAATTCCGATCTTCTTAGCGCAATGTCCGTTTTTCTAGGGTCGATGCCTGAACTCATGGCATAAAGCCTTCTACCGACACGTCGATCGATCCTCCAGCTCGACGTCCAATCTTCTGACATGTTCCACTCCGGCCTAACATTCGATTCTTCTTGCTTCAATCAATTTGCCTCTCATAATCGAAGCTAATCCTATGTCACTCAAAATGCAGATTAGTTCATAACATTATCAATTGGTTTCATCATCAAAATCCAAGATTCAGCAATCTCCCTCTTTTTTATGATAACAACCAATTGATGACGGAGTTAACCTTAACTCCCTCTATCAATATGTCATATTAATAGAACCTTGAATTTAAGTCAAAGCAATTATAATCATGATCATATGCAACACATTATGTGTATATCATTATATTGCATGTATCATCATAAATATTTCAAATCATTATGGTATCAAAGTATAATAATCATATCATCATATTTTTGTTGAATCTTAGATTTTGATGATAAAACCAATTGATAATGTTATGATCTAATCTATATTTTGAGTGACATAAGACTAGCTTCGATCAGGAGAGGCAAATTGATTAAAGCAGGAGGAATCGAATGTTGGGCCGAAGTGGAATATATCAGAAGATTGGACGTCGAGTCGGAAGATCGGTCAACGTGTCGGTAGAAGGCTTTGTGCCATGAGTTCGGGCATCGGGCCTAGAAAAGTGGATATTGCATCAAGAAGATCGGAGTTGCAAAGGTCAACATGTCGATTGGGCAAAAGGCCACAAAAAAGGATGATGCGCCGAAGGATCGGATGAAATGCCAATAAACCAATAACATGTCGGACAACATAGTATTCTTTCTTGTAATAATTTGTCTAGATCAAGTTAGTTTAGGTCGTAATTGGATTGGTTTAGAATGTAATTAAGCTAACACAATTAGGGGCCAATTGGGCCCAAAGTGGAGCTATTTTGGGCCAAGAGAAAGGCTCGTTCAGTGACTCAAAAGTTAAGTCAATCGGTGGCACCATCAGTTCAGGCAGTGGCACCGCCAATGGCTTAGTCTATGAGACACAGTCTCCAAGACTATATTAGGCGGTAGTACCACCAAACTAGGCCGTGGTACCGCTAGTCTGGGTGATAGTACCGCCCAGACACAATCTCCTAGACTATGTCAAGCGGTGGTACCACTAGACTATGTAGTGATATCGCCCAGTGTTAGTGCTGTAGGTGGTGGTACCGCCAGTACCCGAGAAACCTGGAATATGACCTTTTTTCTGTATAATTTTGAAGTCATTTGAGGTCTATAAATACCCCAACTATTTTTGCATGGCATAGAAAGAATTGAGCAATTGAGTTGAAAAAGAGGAAAAGAATACTTGAAAAAAATTGAGAAACTCTCTTAGGATTTAGGATCACTTATTCCTAGTATTTAGAAGTTCGTCTAAAGAGAAAAGTGAGATATAAAAAAGAGAGGTTTGTAAGGATTGTCTCCTAAACCCGTGAAAAGGAAAACGAGTGTAAAAAGATAATTGATCTTCGTCCATTGAAGAGAGATCGTTAGTGGATGCTAGTGGCCTTGACGGAAGAGGAATCAGGAGTGGAGGTAGGCCACGATGACCGAACCACTATAAAACTCAGTTTACATTTACTTTAAGCTCTTTACTTTCATTATAAACTACTTTATTTACTTATTCATTTTCATACGTTTTTAAATTAACATATTTTCGATATGATTTTTTATCAAAATAAAGATTTTTAAAATTGACGTTTTTATCGAAAGCAGTAATCACCTCTCTGTACCGACTCGATGTCTCATGGAATATTGAATAAAAAGAAAAGATAAAAGGCTATCAGCTGATTCGGAGGCGACCGAGGTAAAAGAAATTTCCACTTGTTAGTCTTTCGGTTGTCGATTTCCGGATTTTAAGTTGATACCAGGATTGAAGACACGAACCTTTTCGATTGCACAATGATTGCGTGCGTCCAGCATCATCCCTCAATTATTAGGATTGCTTTTTTAATTTCCAGGGCCCTTCCACCGATGATTAAAAGCCCCTCCCACCGCCTAAATAATAATTGAGGCTCTAGAATCTCTATACACACAAATCTTACGGAGACCAGTTACTTGATGACCATTCTGCAAGTTTATTACTAAATAATTAGTGCAGTGGAGGGAACAATTGTTGCCTTCCGTCTGTTTTGGTTGTGGATGTCTTACTCCGTGTGATGGACACAGGTCGATAGAATGCAGTTTGGGTCGTCCGACGACAAAGAGACGTAGGTGTTGCCGAAGCATGCATGGCATTTAGCCCGCGCAAATGCCTTCCCTTTAGTAGCCTACAGGCCCTACACACGTAGACGACACGCAATCGCCTACCATCAATTATCAACAGATAGTGCAACTGTGGACCAGTTCCTGTTCCTCTACTGCTGTTGGATTGTATTTGATGTTACGTTTTAATCGAAGGAAGACAAACCCAGGATGATGATGATGATGTAAAACATACGAAAGTTTGACGTCTTTAGGGGTTAATATAGAGGAAGAGAGGATTGGATTAGCAGCTAAAAGTAAGGCTAGAAGACAAGATTTTTATGATAGAAAAATAGGGTACGAGGTCTGGAGGACCTCCAAGTAAGCACGATGGAGGACCACCAAAAGGTAAAATAGTGTGAACGAGAGGGGAAGAAAGGAGAAAATGAGAGAGTGAGAGAGAGAGAGAGCGAGAGAGAGAGAGAGAGAGATGGAGTTGCGGTCCCAAGGTCGCATTGGTCCCATCTTAATAGGTGTTTCCATGGGACTTTGTTGGAAATGGAGGACCACATCCCCTTTGGATCGGGGCCAGACTCTATTTCCGGAATATTTTACAGGCGCATCTATGGCACTGTTACTCCTCTTCCCTTCGCCCTCTCTCTCATCTCACTAGCTTTGGACTAGAATGGGAAGGAAGAGAAGAAGCTGATGAAAACAACACTGTAACTCTGTAAGACCCAATTAACGCATGAGCTTGGTTCATATGACAACGGCAGGAGCAACAGCAGCCCATCTGAAAAGGCGTGGCCCCCCTGCTTGCTGTGGACGAGAAAGAAAGAGAGCTGCCCTTCACCCTGGAGAACTTGGGATATGTGCCAATTCCATCTCCATAAACACTAAAAAGCGAAAAAAAATGGCCTATTACATGGCAACCAGAGAGAGAGAGAGAGAGAGAGAGAGAGAGAGAGTGTGTGTGTGTGTGTGGCCATGCGGCGTTAGGCAGAGAGTTCAAGAGTCGAAGGGCAGGGCCCCCTTATGCCGATACTCTCTGCTCGAGATGCCCGTCGCTGATATATGATGTTGTTGCTTCTCTTTCTTTCTTATCTTTATCTTTAAAGATTTGACGTCGAGTGGATTTGCTTTCTATGGGTTTGGAAGCGTTGCAGATGCTTATATGTGTATGTTAGCTCATAATCATCCTTCAGCTTCTCATCGTCCATCATCCCCGTCCCAGTTTCCTCGCCATGTGAAAAGCCCTTCACTTCTGTTACAAGATAGACTTGACTTCTGCTCTAGTGCATCGGTAAGCATGGTTCTCCTGCACATTTATTTATGTTTCATATAGATTACCAAAGGTTATAACATCAAGCTCGATTAGTCCATTCGTAGATTGATATGATCTTTTTTGTTGTTCTGGATTGATAAGATTAAAGATTATAGAGAATACTTCTTGCTGAAGCATTCTTTCTTGAGTTACCTAAAAAGGCCCAGATGTCTCACCATCACCAAACCATGGGTTACACCAACTTTTCCTCCACGATCGAACCAGTGATGCAGAGCTTCCAACCAAGCCAGGAGCTCTACAGCCTGCAGACGGGGATGGAGATGCTGGGGATACCCTGCAAGCCTCAAGAGAACTCCGACAACTGGAGAGCCTCCTTCTCCGTGATCGGCAGCTCGGCCCACGCCGCATCCTGCAGCTTCCCCCAACCGTCGAATGAGAATCTGATGGTTACACCCGAGAGGTTGCCCTTGTGCCCATGGCAGCCACCGAATCAGATGCTTGTCGACGGACCCCGGGCAAGGTTTCTATTCCCACCATGCGAGGGGAATGGGCAGTCCAGCAGCGGTGGATTGTCCTTGTCCTTGAACCATGCCGAGACATCCAACTCCAGCTACGATCAGCCTCCGTTCGATCAGGATGTTTTGCCCACTTCGAGAGATGAGTTGTTTCAGGATGGTAGGTTCTTCCGGCCACCGATCTCACCGACTACTTCGAATCTACACCAGCCATCCCAGCATCTGCTGAAGACCTCCAAGTACTTGCTCGCAGCTCAGGACCTCCTAAACGAGTTCTGCAATATGAACACTACTGCTGACAGCGGCTCATCAAAGAAGAAGGCTAGCAAAACAAAACAGCGGAACGAAGGAGGCTCTTCTTCCTCTACTTCTTTGAGCCAATCTCTCTACTCCTTGGACATTCATGAGCTGCAGACTAGGAAGGCTAAGCTGCTTTCCATGCGAGAAGAGGTCAGGTTCTAATCCACTTTGTTATCTTGAGCGTTCATGAATGAAGTTGAAAAGTACCTTAAAAGCTTGATCTGTAACCTGTATTACTGTCCCAAACAACACAGGAAGGACATATGATTTCTGGGTTAGAGGAAGAGGGGTGCCCATATCTTTGCGAGCGTAAATGAGACCATATCTTTATCGCTCGGCGGGGGAGGGGGGAGGGGGGATGGGGTGTGTTTGTGGGTGTGGGGTTTTGGGGGAGAGATCATCCAATTGATTGGTTTGACAACTTGTTGACTCTGGGTTCAATTATGCGGGCCTGCGCACCTACCTCGAATGCGTTGCTGCGACCCCGCAGGCACAGGTTGATATTTCCGGGACTTCCATTTACTTGGGGAAACCTCTATTCCTTAGTCGTCTAGGCCTGCAGGCCCTCCATCCCTCCGTATTAACTGGAACCCACCACATCAGCTTTTTACGTCGCCAAGGGATGAACATTTCCATTTAGCTTCTTCTATGTATGCAGTATCTTCCAAGTACACAATGTGTATGCAGCAGCCTCATGAGAGAACACATGCATTCTTAATAGAGACAAAGAAACCTTGTTTAAGTTCGTTGTTGCTAGCTAAGATAAACATAGGAGCCTTAAGATCTTACGTTCTTTTTGTGGGTTCATTGAGGGCCTATAAAGTGCAATGATTTCTTTCTTCTGTGGCGATAGGTGGACAGGAGATACAGAAGATATCGTCATCGGATGAAAGCAGTGGTTTCGTCGTTCGAGGCCATGGCGGGGGAAGGGGCGGCGGCAGCCTACTCGACCTTGGCATCGAAAGTCATGTCGAGGCACTTCGGGTGCCTGAGGGACAGAATCGCAGGTCAGATTCAGGCGATAAGGAGGCAGATGGGAGAGAAGGATGCAGTTGCGGAAGGGGGTAGTAGTACGAGAGGCGAGACGCCAAGGCTTAAGCTGATCGATCAGCGTCTTCGACAGCAGAAGGCGTTTCAGCAAGCGGGGGTGATGGAGAGCGAACCCTGGCGTCCACAGAGGGGCCTCCCTCAGCGCTCCGTCTCCATTCTTCGTGCTTGGCTCTTCGAGCACTTCCTTCATCCGTAATTATCTTTCCCTTTCTGTTTCTTTTGTCACGCACATGCAGTCATTCACAAGTGAAAATTTGTTTAGCATCATTTCACCCAATCATATATACATATATGTATTTATACCTTCGCATTTTGCTCTGAACGGTACGTATCTTAAAGTTCACATCGAGTATATAATCCAAAAGGCAAAAAAAAAATAAGTCTACCTTCTCAATCACATTCCTTATCTTTGCATGGTGTGAAACCCGTGCACGTTATATTTCTATTGTGGAGGAGGAAAGGAAAGGAAAACTATAGTTAGATGCATCTACTTCTAACTAGTATCTCGGACTTATGATTCTGATTGACTGCAGGTACCCTAGTGATGTTGACAAACATATACTAGCCCGGCAAACAGGACTATCCAGGAGCCAGGCATGTCTACGTCCCACACTTTATAATCATATACAGATCATTCGTCTTCTTGCCATCACCGTAATTAGTCATATGATAACCAGGATTATATATATGTGGTTCTACCAACAGGTCTCCAATTGGTTTATAAACGCCAGGGTCAGACTGTGGAAGCCAATGGTGGAGGAGATGTACTTGGAAGAAATACTAGAGCAGGAGGACCAAACATCACTCGGAGATAACAGCAACGACGACGATGCTATCAACCCACCAAACCATCCTCAGTCCAGCCAGAACCAAAACTCTATCTATAACTCTTGCGAAGTAGACATTGAAGAGCAGAAGCCAGCAGCAGGGCAACTCCTTACGGACTCCGACTCACTCTCCTGGATAGTCAGCAGTTCCAGTGCAAGAGATCGTATCAGCAGCAAGAGCTCCGACTTTGGTGCAGTGGACTTGGACTTCTCTTCCTACAACCATTATTACTGCAGCAATCAGAACTTTGGAAGCGGCGTGTCCCTAACGCTTGGCTTGCAGCAGCACAATGGTGGAGGCAGCGTGAGACCGTCGTTCCCGCCATCGCTGGCGTCACAGCAGTCTCTCGTTTACTCCAAAGAGCAGATGGAAGAATGCCATCCGAGTCAATTCTCTATCTTGGATGGGGAGGCACAGAATCTTCACTACAGGAACCTTATGGGAGCTCAGTTGCTGCGTGACTTGGCGGGTTGAACATATACAGTTGTGGGTCTTTTGTTGTGACTTTTCGTGGCCTCGATGGATAGTGACAATGTCTAAATCGTTGCATTCGGGGGACAAATTTGTTACTGGATGCACATATACAGTTTTTACTTCATCCAAGGACAATTTGTCTCTCAGATATCTTTACATAAATGTCAAGAATAACAAGAAGTAACATTATGCATGCATCTCTGTCTTCTGTGAAAAATGGAACATAAGGATAAAACTATATATATATATATATATATATATATATATATATATATGGAAAACTGCATTTGCTTGTGCATTGCATAATATTGGACATGTTAAGTATTTCGGTGCTGGCCTTGGGCTTTTAAATTATCAAGCATTGAAATGCCCCTGACCCAATATACAGGAAGAACAATGGGGATTTGGGTGATCAGGCCTTCTCTTTCATCCTCTCCTAGTGCATTTTGTGGCAAAAAGATGAGATGATGAACTCCGTTCCTTCTGTTCTTGTTTGTTTTTGGCCTGCCACCAAGTTCTCTCCGATCTTAATTATTTGGACTCACTATTCCTTCCAATCTGCGTTGATCTAATCTCATAAACGATCAGTGATGCTGTAAGATTGTCTTATTACTCATGAAACCTACTGCAAATTGTCAATTGATGTTACAGTTTATTTTATCGGAGATGTTACAGGCTTTATTGCATGGTTGATTGGTTGAAACTTACCTTTTTGTGGTTGTCGAACAAGATTTCGCGATTCATAGTTTTTGTAGAAGAAACATGCGTGATAATTGAGTTTGAATTTGCATGTTCATATCAAATACATATGCATGAAATGGTCTAATATTTATGTATTTTTCGAAACATGTTAATCCATGGTTATTAGAATCCGAATAGACCAACCAAATTAAATGTATTCAAGAAGCATGATGACTAATTAAATGCACAAGGCGTTGCTTAAAATTTATTGCAGACTCACATTTTATATATCAAATTATGGGAAAGTGTTGATTACGACAGCTTAAATTTTGATTCAATGACCTTAAGACCTTCGATTCCATGACACTTGATTTTTTTTTTTATTGATGGTAGTTTTGAAACAGTTGATCCACCTTAAACACACGAATGACTTGAAAAAGTTTTGGTCATCAATATAGAGTTAATAAGATTTAGGATGACAAAACAAATCTTTTTCCATTTGACTTTTTCTGAGGTCAACCCCTTAGACTTAGTTTTTTGTCTTTTTAAGGACTTAGTTGTAAATAAAAATTTTAAGGAGGAAGTTGCAAAAGAACAATTTTTCTTCAACCAAAACAGCTCAAACGGAAGGAGGGAACGAAACAGAGGGCGAAAGAGAAAAAAGAGGAGACAATTTTGCAGGCTTCGTTTTTGGCATTAAAGAAATAATCGTATCTGGGATTTGAAAAATTAATTTAGATATGGCTTTAGATTCTTAAGTTTTCCTGTTAATTAGACTACTAAATTGGATTATTAATTAGCTAATTTTAGCTTTCTAAGTTAATCAGATTCCTAATGATATTAATTCTTAATTAGCATTAGTTTACTGCGAAAGATGATGGAAAAAAAAAAAAGATAAACTATAGTTGCACTTAAGTGGGAATTAACACAGAGATAAAGCATGTTTAGCAAGTTATAGATGTGCTTATAGTGTATAAGAAACTGATAAAATTTTGAGAATAATTACAACTGTTAACAGTGAAAAATAAAGAAAAAATGATAAAATTAAAATAATTTACATGTGATGTTTGTCCATATTTTATAGATAATTAGTGAATAATATTTTATCTATGAGCATTTTGATTATTAAGTGAGTTAATGATCCACGATTTCCATTCGTGTAAATATTCAATAACTCTATCTAGCCTGTTTTAAAAGTAATATACATGCATTTTTAATTAATGTATATGTTTTAAACTTATAAAAATGTATGATTTGCACGTATTAAATGAAATATGTATCAACTTTGAAATTATTAATTTGATATTTTAATTATTCAAAAGGATTTATTCTTGTTAGTTTTAAATGTTATATGAATTGTTAAATTTGAAATGAAAGATAAACAAAATTTGTTCAAATATTCTTTTAAATATGTTTGATACCTGATATTATATGACTAGTATGATTATGATTGGGACCTTACCAATGAGTGTTACATATTAGAAATGTTCGTAAACTAGTTTTTTTTAATCCTGATGTAAAGATATGTGTTACCTATATCATATCATAGGAGTTAAACATAATTTTGGACCTGTTACGAAGATAGAATGTGACCATTAGTGTTATTATGAATGTCGATTTTGAAATGTACTCTTAGATATAGTGATATTTATTATGAATTTAGATATGCATCTTTAGCTATATTTATTCAAATTATAAATAGTTGATCTTCGTCATTTCTATGAATATGATATTTATTTTGATATGTCATTTTGCTATAATTATGACTTTATTTACACTGAAATAAATATAAAGCTTTTACATGGTATTTGATATAAACATCAATAATAAGTTGATGCTTTATATGCTTTGCTCTAAAAATAAAAATTAATTATATGAAGTACTTATAATTATTTATTTATATGCATTTGTTTTAAGTTTTGGCTGGTATATGAGTTATGGTGGTTTGCTCATATATCTATTCTATGAAATTTTCAAATCTTGAAAAATAGTCTAGAACAGATGTGTACTAGTGAAAATATTACTCCGTGACAATAAGGTATCATCAACCATTCAACATTCCATAAGCGGATCAATCAGTGAACTCATTCCCTAATGAGCACCTGTATTGTATCCCTAGTGTCCCCACACGAGCAGCTATAAGACCAGCTGCTTCCATCATATGGACGGGTAAACAACACACTAGTCTATCTAGTTATCTTGACGTCCCTCTCGAGTAACCTATGATCGAGATTATTTAGGGTATGTGTTTAAAGGCGAATCGGTCTCATTATCGTGATCTCATTGTTGAATCTCGTATTTTGATGATGAAACTCCTTCATATATGTTTATGATTTAATCTGCGTTTTGAGTGACGTAGGGTGCTTCGATCAGGATGAGACAATTAAAGCAGGAACATCATGTTGTGCCGGAGGAACATGT